AATAATACAGTGGTTTCCATAACCTACCTTCTATGAATTACGTAGACATAGTTAGAATAGCTACAATAACAGATACTGAGATTTTTCAAAGACTTAGAAAAAGTTGATATCAAAGTGATTGTTGCAATAAGAAAATAAACTACATTATTCAAGGAATAAACAATGTAAACAGAACAACAATGTTTGACCGTTTTAAGCACTAAAGATTAATAAACGTAAGACAGTTTTCTTTGCGCTTTAAGTATAAGTGTCTTCATATTAACAACACATCATAACTGCTTAATGACTTGTAAAGATGTAATTATGCATAAAACTAGCCAGTTTTGGGTACAAATCATGTAAAATAGTATTTCTCAGGTATGTTGATGATAAGCATTCTAAGTATAAGTCAGATTAGAATTAGTGATCACTGAATTTCAAAAATGACACTAACTTATTAAAATGCACTAAGAGAAAATCTACATTCTTCTTATGTATTTTATTATTAATGCATTTATAAATACCATTCGGCTTTAGTCCTATGCTCTCACATCATACATTTTATAATATTTCAAGTTTTTGTCATATGCAAAGACAAATATGTCAGACTTCTTTATATGGTTTTTTGCGGAAAATGTCTCACCCTCAAACAGATAAGCTATATTTTAGTATTTCAATATCTAGTGGAACCTATTCCTAAGAAACCTGTCAATATAGGCACTGGTGACTGATATTCTAAATTAAAAATTCTCTTCAATTAAATAATAAAAGTCCTCAAACACAGAAATAATAAATAAGTTGTTAGATGCAACAAGTCTCAGAAAGATGACTGTTTCAATTATTATATACTCGAAATATTAGTCTTATTCGAGACAAAGTTCAACAAAAGATGTAGTTCCATTGAATTTAAATTCAAACAATTTCAATTCTTGTCGTTATACTTTATTTTTTTATCTAACCACCCTACTGAGAAGTCACATTTAACTGAATTATCATAGATTTAGATGAAAGCATAATTTATTGACAACATTTGAACGACGATAGAGTAACCTTGAACGTCCCCCTAAGAACTAGGACCAAATGAAGGTTATAAACCAGTGTGAGTAAACAGAAATAAGATTTACAGATAATGGTTAAGATTCAGAATTAGATTTAGGTTTTTCATCCCGGAATGACATCACTTATAATGCCAGAACATTATTGAGCAGCAAACCTGTTAATATAAAAAATTTTAAACACTACGGTAAGGCGGTCCCAGATAAACATTTGCCGTGTTGTGTGACTACGACATCTGCTGAGTAATCGTCAAATATTTGTCCAGCTGTAATGAACTAAGCGTCCACAAGCTTTCCAGATCAATATTCTCAAGCCTTCCAAGCGCCTTTCACTTCTGATTCAGTAAAATGTTGTGGTATAAAATCTCCTCTCTTTCGATAAACTCTTGATTTACTCCATTTTATTAAAATCTTGTCAGTAACTTTTCTCAAAAGATCAACTTGCAATTCATATAATAGAATCTTTAATAACTGGTAATTACTGCTTGAAAAACTGAATGAAAGTCGTTATTCATTGTAGTTCCACGCGGTTTAAAGTTTAGTGGCCCTGTATCCGACTTCAGTCGAATTGTATGCTGATTGTCGTCGAAATATACACGTCAGCTATCTTCGCATGTTTCATCGAATTGAATCGCGTTAGTGAGTAACCGAACTAAATAAGTCAAATACGAGGATTGAGTTTGAATACGTTTATTTCATACGATGGTTGATTGGAACAGACAATCACAGAAAAGTAGTGAAAAAAAGCGAATAAGAGAAAGCGAAGCAAAATGGATCGGAGAAGTCAACTGAGTCAACTCAATATAACCAGGAGTTACTCAATATCTATAATCAGACCAAAAACATTTTACAGTTATATGATGAATGGGATAAGCAATCAACACATATACGATCATACAAAAACAGTCAGAATAAATAAGCCAATAAGTGACTAGGTCGAAGTGCGGTTACGGATGATGGACAGATTGATCTGTCCAGAAACTGTATCAGTCCATGTGTGCAGCAGAGTATTTGTGAGCGATAATCGATGGGTTATTTATGTGTATTCACAAATCGGAACGGAAGGTCGAAGTTCATATTTTAAACTACACTTTCACAAGTAATAATGGTAATTGTACAAGTTTTAAGAATTGAAGAAAAATGCAAATAGTAACAAAACTAATTACGGCACGGTAAAAATGCCAAATATTTACAAAGCCGACCGCCGTTTCGTTTCAACAACCTTGAACGGCCTGACAAGAGGCGGTCATTCCGTATTTCAATTCCCTTAGGTTCTTTTGGTTGCATGAGTATAAGTCTTCTCCCATTTAATTCGTCCTCTGTTGCATTAAAAAGCACAAAGTAACTGCCGAAAGCATTAATTTAGCATTCTCTGTCTTCTAGTGTACACGTCGCTTCTATTGTTGCTTTGTAACTTGATCTGTGATTACAATCGCTGTAGAAAACCTAAACGACTTTGTTTAATTTTTTGATAAGGTCCAGAAAACAACGTAACAAAGATAAGATAAACTTAACAGCTGTATATACTCAAAGTTTGTGTGAGTCATTGTTAAACACAAAGGTTAAGACGAAATGTCAAGTAACCGTAAGTCTTAAATATTTGTAGTACTTCCTTCACTTAGCAAATTATTATTGAAAGAAATAACGATTTTTATCAATATTTGAGTGCTGTTTGTAGTGCTTCATGATCAACAGACATTTCAGTCGGCGTAAGCGAAGCGTTTCAATGTATAATACTGAACAGGCCTTTAGGAATCTGGATTAAACTTGATAGTGCGCTAGAAGAATTTCAAAAAGTATGGAAGAATAATTTTGTCCCTTCGCAGACTACCCACACTCACCACATTCATACAGAAAGTAAATTGTTGAAGGACATTAGATATAAATACTTGTTTGTTATGTTCCAGTGCATATTTGGTCATAAGCGTAAATGAGAATGTCTGACAGTGAATCAAAAACCGTGAGAACTTCAACTAATATGTGACTCTTAATGTCTAAGTTTCCAAACTGCCGATCAATTTTCCGTGTAAGATTGAAAGGTGAAGAATATGTCATAAAATCATACAAGTTGCTACACAACCATCCATGTCGTAGTTCATAGATAGTTTGTGATGCATGAACAGAAAGATGTCGTCAGAAGATAAAAATCTAAAGCCGATGATATTGTAATTACAATCAACAGATGAATTAATAGAAAGCAATAATGGTCGAACTGGTAGGCAGGTCACTGCTGCTGGTGTAAACATTATGAAAGCTCAACTCTCTATAGGTAAGTGTATAGAAGCATATTCCAGGTTGACGCACGCGAATGTAAGTAATCGATATGTTGCGGCAAAAGGGTGAAGTGAGAGAGTATTCAGAAAACGGATATGTAACGAGAATCTGCTTTAGTACATATGAGCAGATACAATTATATAACAAATATCCAGAAGTTGTTTGTATTGATTCTACATACAATTTCAATCATAAAATGTGAATATGCTTTTTGTTAAATTCCACTTTGTAGATATTCGCTATACCAGTCGGGAATATCCAATAATGTTGAACGAAAGCGTTCTGTTCTGTCTGCATGGATGCAAAAAGAATTGCGAGCAGATGTAACGTGGATCATGGACAAATTCAGAGAATTAATGGGAAATACATCAAAAACCCAAACTTTCGTTATGGATCGCACACATGGGGAAAGCGCGGCTGTCCGTCTTACACATGGTAATGCAAATCTAATTTTGTGCGCCTTTCAAGTGTGTCGCGCTTTCCGTAAAAAGTTACAGCAATCATGATTTAAATGAAATTCCCCTTAGATTTGCGACAAAATCTTGAGAACGTACCTGAGTAGATTAAAAATCGTAGAAGCTGTTGTAAGATATTGCTTAAATATATTTATCCTGTATATCCTGTATATATTCAATATTTCAGAATTGTTACCCAAAGAAACAGACGGGTGGGTGAGAATCTTCATCGATTCTGGATGTCTCGTATAAGTATGTGGGCGGTAGCGTTTAGTGGAAGTGTTTTGACTCTCGGCAACAATACGAATGATCGTGTGCAGCCACTGAATCGTTAAAAAGAAAGATATGTACGCCAAACCCACAGCTTGCACAAATGTTCCTGTATATCTTCATGAGGAGGACAGAAAAGGATATCAACTTCAATTGTTAATTTTTCTTTCTCAGACACCTTACATAATAATATGTCAGTTCAGTCGAAAACGATTATACATATAGCGGAAAGAACTCTTTATGGCTGCATATTAATAAGTTATTTAACATTCATAAATAGTTGAACGCTCAAATGCTTCAATTTTCATTTCACAAACAACTTCCAGCATCAGTGTTCATCACCATCATAATTAGGGGAGGTCAACCACAAATCAAATGTAAAAGGTCTTAGAGCTCAGTTTTCCACAAAACTCTGATTGAGGTCTACTTTTGACTTCTTATATGGTAAAGTCCATTCGCCTCAGTTCTCTTTTTCACAAATATCCACATTAGGCTTGCCAAACATTCAACCAAGTTCTGAGGGACAAATACGTCAAACTCCTAATAAACTGGAATAAAAGCCAGGTAGCAAGCGAAAACACTATAAAAATTGACGTGAGGTGAAAAAATGCTGTTCATAAATGACAAATAACGAAATCCCAAAGTTTTCGACAATATAGCTTAACGTCATGACAGTGAACTGATTACAAAAATGTCTATTTCGACTGTCCCCCCCCACAAGAGAACATGCTATGGCATTTAAACACAACTAATTTCGTCTAAATATATCCACTGTAGAAGAATATAAATGCGTTCAGAAAGTGATTTCCAACTTAATAACATCCCTTACTCTTACGACACCACATTAATTAGCAAAGAAAATAACACATCAATGGCCAGTCGAATCAACGAGAATCAGTTTAAACAAACGATTTAGTTCACAAACATAATCCACGACCGCTATTCCGTACTATTTCTAGGATTTAAAATGTCAGTAACTATTTACTTTATAACAAATTGCATTACAAAGATATTGGACAAACGAGTTTCGACGTCAAACTCTGCCGCGCAATGTGGTTTGTTTTGCTACTCCGGTAGGATAGGTTCATTCCATAGTAATTATTTTTTCATTAGTCTGTAAACATTTTTGTAAATAAAGACATATGATAAAACTGCACATCCTCATCTTAGCTGAAAATCCTTCTCACTAGAACCTTCTCTGACAGTTCAAAGAATATATAAAAAACCCTATATATAAACTATCGTCTCAAAATTAACAATCGTTAGTGTCGCGCCTACTATCAGTGGTTAAAAAGTTCAGATAATAGTGAAAAGGAGTTAGACTCAGTAGGCTTATAACTAAGTGGTCCTTAGCCGTGCTCGGTGTAAAGTTGGCTTCTTACGTAAATGACTTGTATTCTTCATGGTTAGAGTACTTTTTAGTGTTTCCTCTAAAATACTGCGAGAAGCCAAAACCACAATTTTCAAAATTTAAGGATCCTGAATATGCAGCCACCTCTCAAGGGACCAATTCGTTTGGAATCTCAGTTATACATGCTTGTCATTTTACTTATTTGAACACAAATATTGGCACAAATGGTCACCGAATTCATATGTCCCATACAAGTCACTTAATTTATGTGTAGGCTTTAGTACTACCCGGGTGCCAAAACAGAAGCAGGTGGTTTTCCCAGGGGGCAACCCCCGGAGCCTTCGACCTGAAAATCTGATTCACAAGGCACTGCAGCGACGTCATAAGATGTTGTCACATGGTAGCCGTTGACCAACGATTGGTTCATACTCCATTTGTTCCTTCAGAATCTTGGTGCTCATGTGCACCATTGGTTTGGAATCAGGGTTTTCGAACTCCCGTGCACAAAAAACCCTAACAAACGGAGGCTTAGCATACATGAGTAGTTTTATCCCCGTCAATGAAACACGGAGACACTTAAGAGGGGAAGAAAGTGAGAATAAAATGGTTTTGTTGTCAGAAATAGGTAATTGTGGTAAGCGAGATAAACCAGTGTCCAACAAATTATACATAGGAGCAGAAGGGTTCTATGCCAAAACGACTGGTTTTCTGTCCTGATTCATAAAATCATCTTTTCACTTGATAAGGTGCTCATCATCCGCTTATAGCTCTTAACCCTCCAGCGATAATAAGCTTCCATATTTTACTATCGTTTTAAAACTTTTATATCTCTGTACCTTATCTATACCTTAGTGGTACATCCAAACATGAATACAGTTTTCGTTGTTTCTGCGTTACATTTTTTATCTGGAATTCTTATGTCCTATCATGTTTTTCTGTCCGAATGATCTGTTTCATTAAAAATCCTCTCAAATCTAACACATCATCTAAGGGCCACCTTTATCTGCGCTTATATCGAGTGTATCATTTTACAACTGCTCATACTGTTGTGTTGAAACTCAAAATTAATCCAATCTTTCTGGGTATCTAAATATTTGGTATACATACTTTTTGGCAGTTCGACTTAACTTGCGTGTATCTTGGTAACCAATAGGAATAAATCAACGTACATATTAGCAATTACTGGTCTTTTTCATCCAACTTTTACAGGTCTAATGAACCCATATGGAAACATTATTGAGGGGATTGGAAATGAATTACTTTTTGTCATCAGTTGTATGGGAACGATTTTATTTCTTATTGCGGCTTGGATCTCTACAAGGGTCAACTGGGAGTTGATGCCTGTTAGAATAACCTTGCTCCGCCATCCTCACAGAAACCATGATACTGAAACAGAAACGACAAATGCATCAGGAACTGTACAACCTGACAACATCGACTCATCGGGTAATATTTTCTCAGAAACTTCGGGTTCTAGTTCCGAGGATGAAATCGATTCCGATACATGCATTCACAAACGTTCATCTGGTAAGTATGACTGATTTTTCAATTATGATTCTAAAGTTCAAGGCACTATTTCTACTACAATTAAAACAAATCGAGCTACTTGTCAGTAGTTCTAATTCTGTGTGCTGAGAGTAAAAAATTGATGTTATTATAACGTTACCCAAGAAGCGCCGTATATGCATTGTGGTTCAAATTCGTTTTACTGATATGTAGCTTGAGATCAAGTGAGAAATACACCCTTTATAGGCCTATAAACTTCCGCGTCAGTTTCGAATGTACATTTTTACTCTAACTTCAGTTGTCTTACTTGGTCACTGCACACATCAAAAGGTTTGATCTGTAACAATTTGAACACCGAAATCGTTTTTGTGTTGAGAATAAAAATGTCATTGGTTCATAGTTGGTTTCATGTATTACTTCTGAGGATTGATTAGATAACGATACCGTAAACGCAGATTGGACATTTAGGAACTGCAAATAAAAACCGTGTACTTAAACTTAGTGAACATACTGGGAATTTCGATAACAGTCTCTCAATTGCGTCAAAACGGTCAGTGCGTTAATTACTATTTACTCTGTCATTGTTTTCAACTACTACACATACGTAAACTGCTTTTGTTATTTACAACTTATTTTTATCGGATTTCACTGGAATGTAAGGTTACGTTTGATGTTAATGTTTCGATATACTAAAAAAAATCGCGTAAAGTATTCTGACCATTGTTTAACTTGATTTTATCACATCAAAGTAATGTGGACACCATTATCGCTTTTTTTTAAATGCACCTTGTGGCATAAGGATTTAGTTTTTTCAAAAGAATGACCATAGTATTCCTAGTCCACAAAATTGACCAGATGTTCATTAAACAACTATTTTTACTTGTATCTAATTCATCTAGTTCAGACTTCAATCACTTCAAATGATCAAAGAAATTCATCTTCATCCGATGAGGAATCGAAAACGAGTAGAACAAAAGAAAAAGGACAAATTAATTCTACATCTTGTTTTAATGGACATTTAGTCATAAAATTGCAATATCTTAATGAAGAATCACGTTTTGTACATGCATCTCCCACTATGTCTGTTAATCGTTTTAAGAAGTACGTTTTCGTTTTATCTTTATGTTTTTTACTCAACATGTTCTATATTTTCGTACGCGAACCCAGACTGATTAATTGTTATTTACCGACATTATAAATAAATTATATATATATAATGCCCAAATAATATATTTAATCTACTTTAATAGATTACCATGTTAATTAAGAATTAAAAGTGGTGATTTTGTTTAACGGATACTTGGTTCGGACCGTTATAATGTTTACTGACTGACGATTTAGTTTCCTTCGTTAGCAACAACATTTTCACATTGTTTACGTAACTTAAATATGGCTTACATTTAGCATTATAATAATTACCATGCTTTAAATTTTGCTGAACCTAGATACTTTTACTTGTTTTCAGGAAACACTTTGTAGATGAATTAATCAATCAGAAAAAGAACGTCAGGCTTATCTTTCAAGGCCGAGAGTTACTGGATGTTTTACAAAATGAAGCAAATTTTCATAGTAGTGGAAGACCAAAACGTCAAAGATTATGTGACTATGGTATAACTGATGGCTCAACAATTCACTGTCTTGTTACAACTCCTGTTGTATCATCACCTACCAGGTCATCCTCGGTAAACGATTCCGGAAACACAGGACGTAATTTCGCTTTCCCAAGTTCTTCCAGCGATTCAATGTTAACTGAGTTTGATATAGGTACTAGGCTTATGAAACCACTTTTCGCTTTCCTCCTACTTTTCACTTGGTTTTTTAGGATTGTCTATAGACAATATTTTAATTCATTGTCTACGTTTGCTTTAGTAACATTAACAGTGTTCTTTTGTGGAGCCGTATTTACTGCTACTCTTGTGAATGCTGTCTCGACAATAGCTTCATTATTTGGTTTTCCAAGCAGTAATGAACTGTCAAATCAACAATCAGAAAATCCAACCAACCAACCTAACTCACCCGATGTACAAGTTTTAACTGTAACTATGGTTGCACGTCGTATTCCACCTCAAACACCTGTAAACCAAACAAACAGTACTTCATTTTTTCTGGGGGAATCAGCCCATAGTCATCAAATTATTGTTGATGAGCCCAATAATGATTCTCAAGCAAGAACAGACTAACTGCTGAGATATCTTTACCTGTATTTATTTTATTTTATCATTGTATTCTTTGGTTCACTTTAGATGTTTGTTATAAGTTACTAAATGTGTATTTCTCTCCTGCTTTTTAAGCAGAAGTTGCCATTCTTGTACATATGATTCAGTTTGTCCTGATTTCCTACTTAATTAGATGCATTCAATCAATAGACCTTAATACTTATTTGTTTATACAATAAGTGCAGAGTGAAACTTAGTTCACCTTATGCAATAAGTCATGTTATACTATGTTCTAAAGTTTAGTAATAATGTTTAAAACTTATGGTTGGTATTTTATGCGAAAATAATTTAGGACCTTCCGAACTAAATAAACCGCTTAAAGTGACTCATTTTGGATATGAAACTTGCGTATTATACTGTAAGTTTTAGATTACTGATTATAAAAGTTTGCGAAGTCATCTTTTTGATGAAAACTTGTACCAAAAAGTAATGGTCAGATAAAACATTCGGAGGCGGGAATAATTGTCTTTCTAGGAAAACAAATATTTTATGTTCTCTAGACTCTGAAATCTATGTGAATTGCATAGATGACATAACTTCGTAGTTAACTGAGGAAGGTATATTTCAGTGACTCAGTAAATTCACCGACTGATTTCTGTGTTACAGAGAATTTAAATTGGTTGGCTTGCCCAAATTTGACTATGACCTTATCTCCTGTTTCTGAGCTTCTATTCTCAGATCACTAAGATATTTGTTATACTATATATGACAATTATTTTCACTCGTTGAATAAAGATGTGAAGCCTTATGTCCTTTATTCACTACAGTTATAAGAAAAGGCTTGAGAACTAGTGTATCCTTTCGGGGTTTGTATGACTATAAAAATAACCTTGCGATTTAAGTTTTTTGAGGTATATCGACATCAGAACCCATATTTCTTTTGTTCAGCCTTAAACAGCGGGAAAAGCGGATATAGTTATGCAGGAGTTACATTTGTCGGATCTAAAATACTGTTAAGATAATACCTTTAGGCGTTAAATTTTCTGCTGGCTTGCAATTTCAAATAATTATCCCTTGTTAGTCACTCAGACCGAGACTAATTAGATTCTTTGTGGTAGACTAGCTTGTATTCCTCTGTTTTTGCCTTGGGATATCTCAGACAAGTCGATTTTGTGTGTAAATTTCCGCTTAATTAGGGTTTAATACCAGGCTGTAAGTTAAACCTTTGATAAACGAGTGTTATTCTACACTGAAAATTGAAGCTAACCGAAACATAAAGGACTTAAAGGTGGAAATAATTGATATGATAATGAAAAATATGTCCAAACAGTCCGAAGGATCCACCTGTATTGCTCGATATATCTACCCCTACCATCAGTACCTTAAAGTCACAATTATCACTTGGAATTTAAAAATCGAAAGGGTAGTGAGTTTTTTCATACTGCACTGAAAACTACAAAGCAGGAACCAACGAAATGCACACTGCTTAAATCTGTCAGCGGGTTGTATAAATTTTCTGTTATATCTAACAGGAATTCTTTTGGACGTTATGGCCATTATGAGTGGAGGATATTCGTACTTTGCTGGTATTGGGTCATAGGTGTCCACGAAACATTGCTCATGTATCTTGGGACCAGGAAGTAAGCGGTGCCTGAGTTAAGAATAGAGTACTAGGTGAAGATGAAGAATTGATTGATAAGATAGTAAATCTTGATCAATTGATGTAGTTGGGATATGTGTTATGCATGACCGACCACTGCCTTCCTCAACGGGCTGTGTTCACCTAAGTTTAAGGTTACGGCGTGGTTCAGTTACATGTTGTGATCTTCTGCTGTCTGACTGAAATAATCACTCGAATCTTTGCAGATAGATATTTTATCCAATCTTGTAGAAAATACTTATTAATTCTTAGGTACCGAACACTCATTTTTAGCCATGCGTTTTGTATTAAGGAAAACGGGCTGTATAGTACAGGTATCTTGTTCTTCAGTATAATTTGTTTGCTTTCTTGGATTAGAACTATTTAAATTTGGCACGGAGTTTGTATTTGATGTAATTGTGGTGTTTGAATGAACTAATGATTCCTTCGTACTTGTTGAATGTTTGATTTCGAATTATAAATACAGTACATTCGTTTGTTGTTTTCTAGTACTTCTTGATCCGATTACGTTATTTCTGGGATTCTTAGTTCATACTATAATTCAAACACTTATAAATATCACAGTAATTTAATGTGAGTCCCTCAAAAACGTTTCGTACGTTATACAAAACAATTTAGTTTTACATAATCACAAACTTTGTTTCGTTAGCTCTGCTTTTAAACCAAATACTGGGTTTCATTCGCTACATTTAGTGTTGCAATTGAAGTACATTTCTATTAACTACCTCCAGATACCGGACGATAACTGGTAAACGAATAACGACAGAGGGATCTATTTCTTTAACAATCAATGCATTTTTATCCACTGACAATAAATACTGACAACAATATCGATTACAACTTCCTTAGATACTCCATCAAATCACGATCTGTAAATCAAAGCCACAATTCAGAGATGCTGGTGCCAAAAAGTGGAATGTCAGTGGTGCCAACGCCTAACCTTGCTAGACATTCCCCACTTAAGGAGTGCAGAATCACTATTTTGTCCAAACAAATTCTTGTCTAAATCTGTGTTGCTCAGAGCAGTGAAAAAAGGCAGGAAAGGTACAAGTATATCACACATAACAGTGAGCCATGCCGTTTCCTAACCAACTATGTATGAGAAGCGGGTAGGACCGCGATAGCACTACTCAATACTCATACGTAATTGATTTCAAACTGTCTTCCCTCTCACTACACAGGCCCATAGGCTCAATCAAATGGAAAACCATAACTGGAGACGGTTTGGTATGTCGAAGCGAGGTAACACCAACTCAGTCAATAAGCAGTGGTTAATTGTTAAATTAAATAAACTCGACAATTGAACCGGCAAGCACATCAAATTAGCTGATCAGCTAACTTGGTTGTGAACGACTGTTAATTATGTCACTTATGTTTATACAATGGCCCGGAAACACAATTAATATATGTAGAAACTGTGAAATGATATACACAAGTTTATGCACAACAGCTCATTTACTCACGCCCCACTATATCTTATTGAACATCAAGTTATTCTAAAATAAATTGTGCTCTAGCATACTTTGATACCATACTACTAAGTGTGACAGTCACTTATGTACTGACCACTGTGGTTCACTATAACAACTTTGAAGACACAACACAGGTTGATAAATTTTGACAATATAGTTATCGACACGAGCAGTCAGGACATTAAACACCGTATAAAGTATCTCTTAGTATTTAGAAGTTCCTACAAATCGACACATGGGTTGATGTGAAGCTGTATGTTATGACGTTTGACAGCTACTTGGATTCGATTTATTTTTGTTATGACCGTGAAATTAACATTGCGGTCTAAAGATTCTTTTTGTCTTTCTTGACATCCCTTCCATTCACAATACATGTCATGGTGCATGATATATTTTTATCCATTCGTGTGCCAAAACCACCACTAATTAGCAGTATCAACACTTAAAAACCATGGTATATACCATAGCCATTGCCCTAATACAGAATCCGAAGTAAAATTAGACTACAGGAACGACAACAATCATTTTCAAAGCCACGGCAACAACCAACACCTTAGTTTCGTACTCATACTCCGTCAATGCACAAAGCCTTTCATGAAGTCAACGTTATTACTGTCAACAAAAGTTCAAACATTGCACACAATTAAGCTCAAAGACACGAAGCCCAATAACATCATCCAGGTTAACATGATCCCTATACACCTCGATGATAAGCAACACCGTGAAACCCTTGTCACACTTTCAGAAAAGGTTTCGGGGATGCCTAAGACTAGCTTACCAAACATGAGACATACGAACCTAAATAACTTGAGACACGTCAAAGTTGACTCCATATTCGTTTTCAGAAGGGTGTGAAAATCTTACCAATCACCTCTTGGCAATGAAATATAAAACTCGTTACAAGTCATATACTTGAAAACACCACCATTCATGGACAACGGATACATCAGCTCTCTCATCCTGAATGTGATTACGAAGTCAACATACGGTTCTCCTGAAAATGTGTGAAACAACAACATCATCATAACCATGTTCACTGAACAGTTTACTCGCATCTATTTATTGTGCCCGCATAGTTACAACAAGTCTGAAATTAATAAAACTATACCTAACACGACAATTCGTGTGGGATCTACATTCATGGAACAAAGATACTTCCAACTGGCAATATCCGTGTTGAAAACTATTCTTTCGATCCCCCATGGATTGTGAAGGGGGTGTAGCTGAAGACCATGTGACATCCCAATCCCTTTTCACACAGTACACTCGGTTTATTCAGTTGTTCTATTATATATCATCTGCTCCAGTCAACATTGATCATTTTGACTCAGCCATATCAGCTTCATTAGTGCTTTTCAGTCGGCGAATAATAAACGATTTCACTTTTTGCGAAATCTAGTCTCTGGTGTTTATCCAGAGCTTGAGTTTCTTCACATGGGTTTAAAGTGTGGGCCACTTTACATAGAAAACAGTCGCTTCTTTCGTTCAAACAATTATACTTACCTGTCATATACGACAAACTCTTTATTCAGAAACATCAAAGTATTCTTGTCTAAGAATGACATTATTTACTTTGATCTGTCCTTTCTTTTCTAACCATTGCCTTTCACTGTTTCGGAATTCCTAATAATGATTATAAGTGTTCTATCAAACCTTTATTTAATTACTTATTTGTCGCAGTCCACCACCGTGGTGTTAGTAAGAACTCACAATTTATACCAGCTGTCGTGCTGGCACCAGTACAGTGGATGTCTTAAAGTCCCGCAGGTGCTTGAATTTTGACAACGCCATTGCACGCAATATCTTTATAATCGAAGCATACGTACCCAGACAAATAAGAAGTCAGGGACCAATTACTTAGAAGTTGTGTTTGGAAGGCCACCGATATACCGAGAAGCGTTTGATCTAAACTGTCTAGTAGTTCCATGGGATGAGCAGCATGGTATACTCACTAGTGATGTGGAGTGATTCAGAGGAAGACTTCCTTGAGGAAGCGTTTTCCATATTCCAAGTTTGTGTAAGGTCCATAAGACTTCCAAGGTAAAGAAAACCACCAGTCCATTAGCAATCAGACATCCTGAAAGAATTATCTACAAAATCACTTTGGACATGTCTGTAAAATGTCAACTCGTGCCTGAAAAGTCTAGCAGTGTATGCACTTCAGTCCAAATATATTGCTTGCAATAAGTGAAAGACATTACCGAATGAATCGTATCGTAGCGCTTAACTAAAATAGATGAAACTGTGGAGTATGTCTTTCAAAGCCGGAAACATCCACGCAAACTAAACCGTTTTTGTGAACTTATGTTGTAGATAAAGATCACCGAACAAGGGGTTTGTGCCACCAACAATCCTGGCGGTGATTGCCCTTTCATCATAAAACTTTCTGAAACACTGAACTCCTACTTCTAAAAATGGTCAACCAAACGATATACATTAAAAAACACTCAACACCACAGCTTTAATCATATGAAAGGTGTGAAGTCCAAGTTAAACTTGGGATAATTCTGAACACCTGGAATTTCATACCGTCTGCCAGATAACAAGAATTTAATAGTACTCACCCCGTTATACTTAAATAAGAGCAAGTTCCATCTGCTCCTAACGAGCCATTCCACAATTTTCGAAAAGCTTGAGGCTGTTTTATTATTTCCTTTCGAATTTAAGGGCTCATAGAAAGTCTGACCAATGATCGGGTGGTGAGTATGTAGTGGCATTGGACAATAGCCACACAATCCACAAAGCTGTGAACACGAGACTACACAGAAAATAGATATTCAATATTTAACGCGGAGAAATACCCAACGATGGAGAAGGCGCGAACAATGAATTGAATGGACTAGGTTGATCGAGTGGCATGGCTCGGCCATGCAGGCGTGGTCTCTGCCGAATATAACCTTATATCTTCTGTTCATATTAAATATATTGTTCTTTCTCTAGCCTAACCTTGTTCTACATCATGTATTGGTAATTGATACGATACAGTGAGTTGGTGTAGTCGATGGTGTGACTTCCACGTAAGATCTTATGGATTAGGCAGTTATATCATGACAAATCTACAAATTTAGGATTAGGTCTATTATTAAAGCAATACTAATATCATAGTAGACCACAGTTCTACAAGTATTCACAGAAAAAATCTTTCTTTAGGCAAATCACTGAGGAGATAGTCGGTCATACACCTTTAACTTTTAAATATGTAATGACTTGAATTTGTTCGATAAGCCATACTCTGTTCTTAAATACTTTCCAGGCACTTGGCTCCTTCAAAGAGTAAGTAGCCCAAAATGGAGTTATTGAAGACTCACAAGTTCGAAGGTCCCTCATCAAAGTCATCAGGGAACAAGCCAACTTAAAGGCTTGTTATGTTAGTTATTACCATACTTAACGGATCAAATCGTTGTTTGGCGCCCACCACCTCACATGCTACTTACCAATTGAAGGACATTATTATCCTACTATATCAGTGTGATTCATAATTTTATTCATTTCGAGAAGGCACGCAATACTGGTTGATATGTTTGTGTTTCGGTTAATAACTGTGATTTCCTGAACTATTGCAATAATCTAATTGTTTTTACGTTCAAAAGCAGACTAAGTTTAAAGCCAAGTTGTCCTTGTTCTCACTATAGTTTTCTTATAGACTCTGTGATCGCTAGTATCGCGTTTACGGTTCTAATAGTATATCTGTAAGACAAATTACACCCTAAATGTTATGAAATTTGTAAGTGGTCAAATTCACCAACCAGTTATTCCAAGAACTGTCCGGTTCGTACTTTGGTAGCCACGAATGGACCAGTAGTTGCGTCTGAGAGAAATTACTATCAGTGTGAGAATTTTCGAAAATTATAGTATTTTCACAGTTAAAATTACGAGTCGATCTGAGCTAGATCATCACTGAAAACCAGGAAGAAGTGGACGGCTATTTCGTTTTGGTGTAAGACTCTATGACAGTGCACATACACGATCTCACATGTTGGACTCGAAACACAGGACCTTCGATATCACACGCGAACGATCAACTTCCACACCACTGAGTCAGCATCCAAGGCTGAAGTCAAAATATCAAAGGTGGGATGAGGAAATTCTCAGCGCAAAGAATTTCAACAGGGTCGATTCTAAAGATCAATATTGAGTGATCTCCAGGAATCGACACCTTAAAAATATTTGTTCTTTTCGATATTGCCAGCATCCACGATGTCTCTTCGAATGCTTCTTATTATCCCAACTGCTCCAATTAGACTGAAATGTTGTGGCCAATCAGCTAACATCATAGTCACACCTTGCGGTCAGAACTTAACCTGGATCAACTTTTCGTTGTATCCCGGTATTATGGCTGCTTTGATGACCGTGCAACACAAACGACGTCATTAGAGAAGTATATTAGCAAGAGTAGGTACGAAAAAAACAGAGTACGATCACCCTCATTGAAGCCAGTCCATAGCGTGCAATCAACTGATGCTCTCTGCTTGTTCTTGACATTGCGGAAGACCGGAGAAGCATGCAGTGACTCAACGGTTAGATGACTTGACTAGTACCCAGTGACGTTTCATTGGCCACACAGTACTCTCCCCTTCAATCGTTTTAACACGGCTGTTCAGTCAGGAGGGTCATGTTGATGAATCGGAAGGCAGTTCTCGGAGGTCGGTCATTGTGAGATGAACATCATGGTATCTTACTTTTTCACAATACGTATATGCCCGACATGGAACGCTACATCAGCCACAAAATCTTAGCAGTATCAGTAGGTTCCTTCTCGTTAATGCCAGAAAATCACGCAAAAATTCACAATGCATTATGTACTGGATTGAATCATTGAGTCGATATTAAGAAAGGTTTAGACCGGAGTTTTTGTAAATGTGCGTTACTAAGCTAAACCTCAGAGGATATATTTTATCTCTATAACCGTGTTCATAGAAGTTGGTCGCTGCGTATTTTAACACTACAAGATATCCAACAAAACGCAAACTTTAGCTAATTGGGGTTTGTCGATATATACATAGTTTTGAGTTGAGATAGAAGACTGTACATTAACTACTTAAAATTAGAGGATTACTCTTGTCATTAACGTGAAAATTTATTGATACGATATACTTTATTAGCCATGCAATTTTATATTTACCCACGCTTACCGTTGGCTAAGCTTCAGATCACAAGATGTACTATTAACTTATAGTATTACTCATTAATCGGTATTAAGCACATTGAAAACTAAATGTAAACAATTTTTATGTTATTCCTGATGACAACATTAATTACCATCCACTGAGTTGTGGATTTCGCTCAAAATTTAAGTCGATAGCTCTAGTCCGAATGGTTTTCCAAAAATCCTCTCTGTAACATGATTTTCACATTAATATCAAATGAGTTACTAAACAACCCGGTAATTGGTGTCTTATTATCTTCAATAAGTAAGCAGCAATCCCAGTTTAATTAAAACAGCTATCAGGAATGAGAATATTAGGTGTGTCTCCCTAGACAAAATTTCGGCGAGACTCTAATTTAAGGACGACCTTTGAACGAATCTTAAGTGACCTTGACAATTATTAGCTAATCAAAAGAAAGTTAGTATAAAGTGAAAATGTATTATATGAAAGTAATGAATTACAGTGGATATTCTTCTTTTACATGATTTAAAAACTTGTTAAGGTTTGATTAAGGTTCAGAGGTTCTGAATTCACAATGCATATGGAATAGGAACTCGTCTATTGGGTTAGAGTTAGGTTTACGGGTAAGGTTAGGGTTAGGGTTAATTGAGGGTTAAGGTTTAGGGCTAGGTGAGGGTTTAGAGTTAAGGTTAGAGTTTAGCTTTAGTTGAGGGTTTAGGGTTAAGGTCAGGGTTTAGGGTTAGGGTTAGTTAGGGTTGGGGTAAGTGAGGGTTTAGGGTTAGTTGAGGGTTAAGGTTTAGGGTTAGGGTTAGGTGGGGGTTTAGGATTAGGTGTAGGGTTAGGGTTAGTTGAGGGTTAAGGTTTAGGGTTAGTTGAGGGTTAGGGGTAGGATGCTAACATACGAAATTTTAAATCATGTCAAAGAAGAATATTCACTGTAATTTATTACTTTCTTTTAGTTTATTTTTACTTTATGCCGTCTTCTGATTGACTAATAATTGAAATTACTCAAACGCTTCTGATTGGCTCGTCCCTAAATTAGAGTCTCGCCAAAATTTCCTCTTAGTTTTTACTACTCGCTGTACTTTTAGGTGTTCAATAAATTGTTTAAATACCTTCATACCCCAGTCAGAAAATTGTGATTCTTAAGTACTCATACTAATTTTAGTCTTGAGAACTTGAGTTATCATTAATTTCAAACCAGTAGATAGAGGGGTTTTTAAAGTCTTTTTTAAGTGATTATAATCGATCGAAGCATAAAAGTATTATATGCTCTTTTCGTACCTTTCGATCCTTTTATAAACTGAGTACCTCAATTATATATATGTCTCACCACCGTAATGGAAAAATGTGCGACGTGAAACCTCTTGAGACATTCGTAAAACATGTCGAAGCCACTGAGACCGATGATCCAAGTTGATAACATCAATTGGATATTCGTAGCTACCGCAACTATACTATGAGACCTCTATATCACTTATAAAATGTTGCCACCATTTAATGATAAATTTACATGCAGTAAAAAGTCGACAGAATAAATACAAATAACGTCAAAAACTATTTACAAAATAAGCTTATCAGGCCTATCTCCAAATAGCTCCTCCCAGAGTGTCCGGAGGTAACACTGGCTATAATAATAATAGTAATAATAATAATAATGATAATAATAACAAATTGTAAGAATATGGCATATACATGTATGCAAAATAATATTTACAGTAATAACCAAAAAGAAAAGGTGGAGATAAGTATGACATGCACATTCGTAATATATAATGTGTTATTGTGTAAAATAGCATTGATGTAGCATAGCATAACAACCGCAAACGAGATTGAAAATACAGTCATTCAAAGTCTTGGTTTGCTAATTATAACAGTAATGTGCAAAACTGTTAATAAACCCATATGAAAATTGAATTGTTTATTTTTTTATATACAATTAATAAATAATTAACTAAAATTCACTCGTTTATTATTGTGACAGATTGTTTTCTGTTTTTTTTAAAAAAACTGACAAAACGGGTAATTGTGGAAAAATGTAATTAGTTATATACACGTTTTAAAAAAATAGTAGATTTTATTGGGAAATTGGGTGAATTTTACAGAGTATTACATCGATAACTGTTTGTTTTGATTTTTTTATTCGACAAAATGTACATAACGTTTGAGTTTCTTTACAGTCCTGCCTGAACGTGTTAAGCAAGTAGGTTTGGTACTCGGTTTTTCATCCTCTTCTGCTCTAGTAGTGGTTAGTGGGAGGGGTTAATTAATTGCAGTGCTATCTTCCTTGTCTTGTTGCGCTTCGTAGAAGGCTGGCTTTATTCTATCAATAGCGATAGTCTCCTCCTTTCCGCACTTGTTGATTATAAAGTGTTTACTTGTTCTTTTGATTACTTGATGTGGTCCCTCGTAAGGATGTTTTAGTGGCTTTTTAACAGCGTCAACTCGAACGAAGATAAATTTGCATGTTTCTAGGTTTTTTGTCGAATTGTATTCGATTATTATATTCTCGCGGCGGTACTGCTTTAATTCTTTGCATTGTTTGTAGTAGGTGACTAGCAAAACGACTTGGGACAGTTGGTACTGATGTGTCTGAGTCTACTAATTGGCCTGGTGACGTAAGAGTTGTGCCCTAAACTAGTTCAGCGGCTGTGCAACCTATATCTTCCTTTATGGTTGAACGGATTCCTAGCAGTACTAGTGGTAATGCGTCACTCCACTTTGATGTATCATCCTGTGCCATCAGCGAGCTTTTTATTTGGCGGTGAAACCTTTCGACCAGACCATTAGCTGCTGGATGATAGGCTGTTGTTTTGATGTGGTTCACACCCAGAAGTTTTGTAAATTCCTGAAATAGGATAGACTGGAACTGGGGACCACGGTCTGTAGTGACGATGGATGGTGCTCCGTAGTTTGATATCCAACGCTCAAGTAATGCAGCGGCTACTGTCTCTGCAGAGGTGTCGGTAATAGGACATGCTTTAGCCCATCTTGTGAACCGGTCCACTGCGGTGAGGATATGCGTGAATGAATTTGATGGTGGCAGTGGACCGACTATGTCTAGATGAATGTATTGGAAGCGTTTCTCTGGCAGAGGAAACTTCCCGACGGGACTGATTGTGTGTTTCTGAATTTTGCTGCGTTGACATTGTATGAAGCTTCGGGTCCATCGTTTTATATCTGAGTTAATCTTCGGCCACACGAAACGCTCAGTAATCAATTTAGTGGTGGCTCTGATTCTTGGATGTGAAAGTTCTTGCAGTTGTCGAAATACTTGACGTCGGCATGCTTGAGGGACGAATGGGCGAATGCTGCCCGTTGAAATGTCACAAATAATAGATGCGTTAGAGAAAGGAATGGGTACGTGTTTGAGGATCAAGTTAGAATTTTCTTTGCAGCTTTTTAGGTCTGCGTCGTCTACTTGTAATTTTGCGATTGCTTCAAGATCGACACCTTATTTACGTACCAGCGTATTTATATCCTTTCTTGATAGTGCATCGGCTACGACGTTGGTATGTCCTTTGACAAATTGGATATCTGTTGTAAATTGAGAGATGTAATCCATTTGTCGTGCTTTGCGAAGTGAATGTCGATCGTACGAGGTGTTGAATGAATAACACAGAGGTTTGTGGCCGGTCATGATGGTGAAAAGTACGCCTTTGTAGTAAGAAATTAGTGTTTGACGGCTAAATAAATGGCGAGTAACTCCCGTCCGAAAGTACTATAACGTTCTTGAGTTGGTGACAGTCTCTTGGAGAAGAACGCTACGGGAATAGTCGTGTTGTTTACCTGCTGTTGCAATACTGCACCAACGGCTTTTTGTGACGCATCCGTACACAGAGTCAGATGGGTTGCGGGGTCAGTATTTAGGTGTTGTAGCATAGTGGCGTTGGCGATCATGGACTTCGCTTTTTCGAATGCCATTTTGGCATCAGAAGGTAGCTTGAATATTTGATTCTTTTCTTTCTTCGTACCTTTTTTATCACTTCAGCAAATCTGTTAAAGGCTGTAATACATCTGCACAATATGGTAGAAATTGCACGTTCCGAGGAAACGGCGTAATAATTTTACAGAAGTTGGTTCGGGGTACTTGATAATAGCTTCGACTTTTTTCGAAGTGGTTTAATGCCTTGAGAATCGATTTAATGTCCTAAGAACTCCAAGGCTGGGACGCCGAACATACATTTAGAAGTGTTGATAACGACGCCATGTTTTTTAAAACGTTCGAAGAGGGTCTGTAGGTGCTGGACATGCTCTTCTATTGATGAGCTGGTGATCAAAAACGTCGTCGATATAGGCGAATATGAAATCTAAACCTCTTGTAACATCGTCCATAAATCGTTGGAAGGTCTGGGCGGCATATTTTAGTCCGAATGGCATTCTTAGGATCTCAAACAGACCAAAAGGTGTAATGATGGTTGTTTTTTCAATGTCTTCTGGTGCAATCGGAATTTGATGGTATGCACGCACAAGGTCAAGTTTCGAGAAAATACATTTACCATGTAAGTTTAATGAAAAATTATGTATATGTGGAATAGAGTAACTGTCAGGAATGGTTTGGTTATTCAAACGGCGATAATCACCACAAGGACGCCAGTCTTGTTCTTTCTTTGGTGCCATGTGCAATGACGAGGCCAAAGGACTGTTAGTTTGTCTAATGATCCCAAGTTGCATCATGTGTTCGAATTCTCTCTTAGCCGACTGCAACTTGTTTGGTGTTAATCTCCTCTCCCTGGCGCAAATGGGTGGACCGGTGGTGCTAATGTGGTGTTGCACATGATGTGCGTTGCATTCCTTTTGGTAGTCCGCTTTAGTTATTCACTTGTGTTTCGTCAGGATTTCGGCGAAAAGGTTGTTCACAGGTTTCATTACTCGTACACCATGTATTTCATAGTCGGTGGTAAGTGTACCGTTCACCTGCAAACGTGTATTCTCGTCGATCAACTTCCTTTTGCTCATATCAACTAGTAAACTATAGGCGCTGAGGAAATCGGCCCCGAGAATTTGTTGCTTGACTTGGGCGACTATAAAAACCCACGTAAATCTTCTACGGAGTCTGAGATCTAATATGAGGGATTGTTCACCGTAAGTTCTAATGACTGTGTTGTTAGCCGCGATAAGAGACAGTTTGGCACGTGTCGTTTGTTGTCGTCGTGAGAGGTGAAGTGGGACGATGCTGATTTCTGCTCCTGTGTCGACTAAAAAGTCTGAGCCAGAAATACATTCCCTGATGTGAAAAAGGGGGCTAGCGTGTTGGCCAGTAACAGACGCCGTCATTACTGTCTGGCCGGCCGGTTACTCTGGTTTTCTTGCTTGTTTGTTGTAAAGTTTCACGGTTGGGTGCAATGACGTGCTTTCTCACCATACTTCAAATGATACCAACAAATACCAGCTGCCCGCTTGGGTGACCTAGGGCGCTGTCTGGACACTGATCGTTTTCTGGATGTGGATCTAGTAGGTCGGGACTGAATCGTTGCTATAGTCGCCTGCAGTGACGCTAACTGCGTGGTCAATTGCGTTAACTGCTGTTGGATGTTGAATGTGGTGTTCGTATCATCTTTACCAGAAGTTTGTATCGCATTTAGGCAATGACTGTCAGGGCAGATCTCCATCATCTTGTCCGCCATATCTGCTAGGTCTTCTAGATTGACGGAACCTCCCGACACACTAAGAGTCTCTCACGTTATGTGGTAATCGTTGGAACCACATTTGTTTAAGTAATGCTTCATCTAATTTATATGAACTCGCTAACTGTTTCTTATGTCGTAGCAACTGCAAAGGTCTCTTGTCCCCTAGTTCGCATGATGTGAGCAGTTGCTGTAGTCGTTTTTCATCAGAGAGTGATGTACGTTGCATTACGGCAGCTTTAGTTTTGTCATAAGGATCAGTCGATCAAATCCCCGACTTCCGTAGCGATTTCGATGGGAAGTGCGCCGACAACAGGCATATTTGGTCGCCTGGGAGCGTATGCCTCTCGTTAGGAATAAGGCTTCTACGTGCGCAAACCAGATCCTGGGGTTGTTGGCACTGTATGCCGGTAGTCTGAACTCGGAAATAGCATTAACTGAGCTTATCATCTGAATGTGATGAGTTGAGGAGATTCAGTGGAGGACAATCGGTATTAATAAGTGTATTTGGGGAGTGCATAATGTGAAAAACAAACTGGTGTGTCAAGTAAAAATGAAAGCAATACAACGACCATAATACACTCGAGGCTCACCAGATAATTGTAACGTCTCTAATTTTTGTTGTGTTTATGACATTTAACTGATATATATTAACATTACTATTTGTACGTAATAACTCTGTTATCATTTTTGAGTTCGTATATTGTTTGATCCCCCAGTGAATCCCCTCAACTCATCACTTTCAGATGATAATAATGATCGAATACAATTCGACAAAAAACCTAGAAACATGCAAATTTATCTTCGTTCGAGTTGACGCTGTTAAAAAGCCACTAAAACATCCTTACGAGGGACCACATCAAGTAATCAAAAGAACAAGTAAACACTTTATAATCAACAAGTGCGGAAAGGAGGAGACTATCGCTATTGATAGAATAAAGCCAGCCTTCTACGAAGCGCAACAAGACAAGGAAGATAGCACTGCAATTAATTAACCCCTCCCACTAACCACTACTAGAGCAGAAGAGGATGAAAAACCGAGTACCAAACCTACTTGCTTAACACGTTCAGGCAGGACTGTAAAGAAACTCAAACGTTATGTACATTTTGTCGAATAAAAAAATCAAAACAAACAGTTATCGATGTAATACTCTGTAAAATTCACCCAATTTCCCAATAAAATCTACTATTTTTTTAAAACGTGTATATAACTAATTACATTTTTCCACAATTACCCGTTTTGTCAGTTTTTTAAAAAAAAACAGAAAACAATCTGTCACAATAATAAACGAGTGAATTTTAGTTAATTATTTATTAATTGTATATAAAAAAATAAACAATTCAATTTTCATATGGGTTTATTAACAGTTTTGCACATTACTGTTATAATTAGCAAACCAAGACTTTGAATGACTGTATTTTCAATCTCGTTTGCGGTTGTTATGCTATGCTACATCAATGCTATTTTACACAATAACACATTATATATTACGAATGTGCATGTCATACTTATCTCCACCTTTTCTTTTTGGTTATTACTGTAAATATTATTTTGCATACATGTATATGCCATATTCTTACAATTTGTTATTATTATCATTATTATTATTATTACTATTATTATTATAGCCAGTGTTACCTCCGGACACTCTGGGAGGAGCTATTTGGAGATAGGCCTGATAAGCTTATTTTGTAAATAGTTTTTGACGTTATTTGTATTTATTCTGTCGATTTTTTACTGCATGTACATTTATCATTAAATTGTTGTACGTGTTGTTTAAGTGTATGACCTTGGACACACTCTTCCGTCGTGTTACATTCATAGCTTGACACGTTGCTAACTGCTAACAACTACACACGTCTTGTTCTCCATTTCCACGTGACTGTGTTAACTGAACTCTAAATCAAATACTGTCTACATGTATAGACTATAATCGGAATATATCATATTCTACATTTGATTATACAACTCGGAGGAAATCAACCTTACTGAAATCTTCAATCATCTATAATTGTGGATTTTGATACCAGACTCAATCAGAACACACACAAACCTGCTGAATTAAGTAACTTCTCTAATTTTTGTTGTGTTTATAACATTTAACTGGTATATATTAACATTACTATTTGTACTTAATAACTCGGTTATCATTTTTGAGTTCATATATTGTTTGGTCCACCACAGCCCTGAGAAGAGGTGGTTGTGCATGGAGTCACCGAACATCCTCATATCAAAAGCGTGGAGTAGGACTCATATCATCAATGAGCTGTATACCCAGTTTTTCGTCACTAGACTAGTTTCACGGCATCTTCAGCAATTTACTAGTGTTAGTACAGGTATAGGCTATTTTCAATTTTAAAGGAGTGCTTTCATTTTAAATCCAACAAATGCTTGTCGTAATTACTGATATTATTTACTAACTGATTATCTACGATTTGACTAACTTACATATTGTATAATAAGAAATCATGCTTGTGCTCTTGACTCGTTGTAAAGCATTAGACCATAGAAATTATGGTTTAATCCATTTCATTTCAATGTTAATCCTGAGTTCCTTCCTTAAATGTAAGTAACTGGTTAATTTTAGTCCGCAGAATAGTAAGGTTGTTTTTTTTACAAAGGATGATTGTGTGAAAAAAAAACTGGTGAAATAGACTAATTGATGTGAATTAATAATGCGAAGTCCTATCTTAAATATAGCTACACTATTTGCCTTCAATGAACCCTCAGACCTGATCCAAATCTTGTTTTTCAAGTTGCTTGTAAACTGGAAGCAAACTAGTTCCAAAGGGAATAAGTAAATTATATTAGAATAGAACCATTAGTCGCTTGCTCGTGATCGAGTCTTTTTCCTAGCACGATGATCCCTTAAAGTTTATTTGACAAATAGAAGTTAATGATGATACAGGTTCTCGTACCAGATTTTAATCCTTATCTACATTTTTAAGAGCGTAGAATAGTACCCATATAAAATTACTTTAACCCTTAGTTGGATTCGTCAATCTGTACTTAATAATTGAGAATAAAGTAAAATATGACTTCGTAAGTGTATTAACTTACAATTTTTTTCTTTATCTGTTGGATAAAATCATCCTGATTCCTCTTTTTTTGTTTCTTTTTCAGTAGTTATGTTAGATCCAGTGATTAGGAACTACAAGACTTTTTAATGAATGTATAAATATGTTGCAAAGTTTGTTCATTATAAATCAGTCCAAGTAATCATCGAATTACTCATTTATCCATTTATAGTGAAATATGTTTAGAAAAACACTGGACAAAAAACATTTCAAAGACAGTTTACGATACCTTTTTTGATGCCGTCACAAAATATGCAGCAGGTGATGTGCCACCCGTTCTAGAAACTCCAAGCAATTCACTCATTCATATTTTGCGCAACAATTTATATTTTCTAGCTGTGTGTGTTAATGAGCGTATGTCGTCAGTATTTAATAATCCATACTATCTTAGTACCTCCCTTACTCGTGATTGAGTTTTTAGATTGTGTTCATTCAATAATCGAAGATTATTTTGGCTCCGTTACTGAAACATCAATCAAAGAAAATGTAGTTTCAATATACGAGGTTAGATACCCCTTGTTAAAATAATTCATACTACTAGATTTTAGATGAGATGCTTGATGGTGGTTTCCCACTGGCCACCGAATCTAATATTCTAAAAGAAATCGTGCGTCCTCCCAACTTCCTTCAATCACTAACAGATGCGGTTACTGGAAAAAACACAATTATTGGGTCCACACTCCCTACAAACCAGTTATCGAATATACGTTGGAGACGTTCTGGTGTGAACTACACTAGCAATGAAACGTATTTCGACCTGATTGAAAAGATAGACGCGATTATCGATCGTTCTGGTTATGTAATTTCCAAGGAGATTCACGGATCAGTAGGTCTTTATATGTTCTTTAGTGTAATCTTTGTTGTTGAATGGTCAAGAACAGTAATCAGCATTACCGAAATGGCTCAGTGAACAGATGTTTTCATTGATAACAGCATTTACTAAAGCTGTACATTTGTATTTTTAGTTATTCGATAAATTAGTTTACAACTAAATAGATAGGTCTTTAGTAAATAAGTCTGTTACCTCCAAATGCCCTAGTGCGGCCGAGAGTAGGGACAGTCCGCTCTCCCTCTCGAAGTGCACTTACATGGCCACGAGTATATAGCCTCTGCAAGGAAAGTCCTACTCACTGTCTTCTCGTGGAGGGGGTGTTGTTTACGAAAATGAGAGGACAAAAAGCGGATGTCCGGCTTTTTAAACGGTTTGGTGAACACGGAGAGTTGACCTACGGGAGTTGGAAAACCCTGATTCCAAACCAATAGTGCACATGGACTCCAGTACCTTGACGGAACAAATGGCGTATGAACCAATCGTTGATCACCGGCTTCCATGGGACTGCATCTCCCTACGATGCTCCACTGCCTTGTGGATTAGACCTTTAGGTCGAAGGCTCCGGGTGTGGCCCCCTAAGAAAACCACCTGCTTCGCTTTGGGCAACCGGGCAATATCACATCCCTCACACAAATCTCATTTGATTTGTGTGGCGCTTATATATCTGGTGCCCCTTGTACCAGTATTTATGTGTCCAAATAAACAATGAAGTCTGATTGAAAATAACAGATGTTAGTGATCGGTTACATAATTTGAAAGAGGCCAGTAACAACGTACAGAGTCTAGTCTTCGTTTCCGTTAAACACAGTAATAAACTCTGAGCTCTCCTGTCAACGTAACTGACGGGTGAGAATTATTGAACTTCTCTAGGGCATCATTTAGTTCACTCTTCGCGATATAGACTATCAGGATATAATTCATATATCTTATGCTGATTGAAGAACAGTATTCTGTAGAGTGGCTATGAAAAAATGTAATAGAAAAGGATCCAGTGGTGATTCTGTCATGACGGGATGAAAGGTCAAAATTAAAGTGATTGATCATTATGATTTTTATTCAACATTGATTCCGTTTAATTCAATTTAATGATCACTCAGTGTAGTATTTGTTTCCTTTTCCCCTATGACATTTTATGCTGTATAACATACGATATTCTTGTACGAAGGATTTTTCATATATGTGGTTTATTCTGATTATTAATCAAAAATGAGTGTACAAACCAATATATAAATGAATATATTTCCGACTAGACTTGTCGTGGTTGTGTAGAGGATAGTATCCTCTACATTTGACTCCAATAAACAGTATCCCGTTGACTGAGTATTTAATGCAGGCTAAATCTCCTAGTAGAATTATGGATTTACTCGAGATTACTCAAAAGCCTGAAAATCAGTTATAGAGATAGTTTATTGTTAAAGATTGGTAAAATCCGCAAGCGTACAGGAAGCAAGCACATAGGGAAACCAAGAGTGTGTGTGTGTGTTAAAAATCCATATATATTTATGAGTGTTAATCAAGTATGGATAAATTATTGATTGTGTGTGTATTACAACCAATCAGAGAATAGATTAAAAATTGACATGTGCTCAATCAGACTCACACAGAAAATTACATGGTGGATCAAGTGTCTAAATTACAGTGAGCAGATTAATACAACACAAACCAATATATAAATGTATATAGTTCCGACTAGAATTGTCGTGGTTGCTCGTGCTTCTGGCTGCTTGCGGAATATATTTCCCCGTTTCGAACTTAAACTTCTCTCTCTAGTCAGCGGGGCTGGGACGCATCAGAATATCTAGCTTATTGGTCTTTGGTCACAGAGTCTTTGTTCCGTTCTCAGACTATGTGAACTCGTAATCGCTTCAAACATAGCAGATTCCATCGCAATCCCAACAGGACTCATTAAATCTGAATTACATATTAAAAAGTGCATTGGGAATCGCTCTTGTTAGATATTTTTAACCATAGATGTTGATGCTTATATTCTTCTTTATCGCTCGGTTACGTTATCACTGTAATTATATTAGCAGAAGAATATCTGTGGTCCTCATTTTAGCTGAACAGTTTTAATCGTAATGAATATTTGAATGAGTATACTTGAATGGTTTTATTACTTCCCCTACCTTCTTTTTTATTGTACATTGGGAAGTCTATAAATGTAGTTTGACTAGTCTTAAGTGTATCTCTGCAGTTAGTATACTTTCTTACTATATGCATCCGTATGTTATTTATTTGAAATGTGCATGGGCTGTTGCATTCAGTTATCGTACACAAGATAAATGCTATTTGTAAGTAGTATCCAGACAAATACTTAATCATATTTTTCATCGTTCGCTAATAGGTTGAATGTCTAATTAAATTATCCGGAACTCCAGATATAACACTGGCTTTCACAAATCATCGGCTGATTGATGATGCCAATCTTCATCCTTGTATTCGCTTCTCACGCTGGAAGAGAGAAAGAATCCTATCGTTTATACCGCCTGATGGAAAGTTTTGTTTGTTCAATTATCATGTAAGCTCATTAAGGTGAGTAAAATGTAATAAGGGGTCTTTTTGGAAATCTGTATATTGTCTTGCTTTTAATTACTTCAGATAATGTTCGGATTTTCGCACTTACACAAAGCAGCATCGAACGATGTCTGGAATTACTCATTGATATATACTAAACGGCTTTTTGTTTTAGAAACGGTTTAATGCATCTTTTCTGTTTATAAATTATCTTAACCATACTGTTTAGTGTTCACAGTCCTATCCTATTTGATTATTGATCATCTGATTTTCCTTCTATTCCTATACAACACTACATTGTATTATATGGAGTATTTCTTGATACCTCACTGTCCTCAAGGCTTTTTTATGTATAATAGTGCGAACCCATGGTGGTAGGCTGTTTAATTGAATTAAAAGCACGAAGATTATTGGAAAGATTGCATGTTCATTAACTAAGTCGTACTATATTGTTTTGTAATAGGGATAAGGCGTTTTCCATTGTTACTCAATATATTCAGGTTTTCTGCCTTCTTATCATCATAAAAACGAATAAAAAATAACACTAAGCATATAGTTCCTTCACTGACAGAAATGGATCTTCTTGTTTATTGTGAAACTTCCATTCTTTATTATCTTGATGACTATGTAGTGAAGGAGAACACGGGTGAGGACAACCAAATTGTATTTAGGACAAATTACAGAATTACTTGGTAAAATAGAAAAACCATATATTAAATCGTTAATTTGCAAAATATCATTCTATCATATGAAACCGGACTGTTGCTGTTGCGAACATCAATCCATTTTCTCACATTTCATTGTTCATGCGATTTCTTACAAATTCCGTTGTGTTCTTGTTCTTCCTTTCTTGATCTTCTCCATCTTCTGCTGCCAGATCTTACGTTATTTTACCTCACGTTATATACTACTTATATCAATATAAGTAGCACGCACCACACTCGTCCCCCCTTTTAACAAGTTGCCGTCGTAGTCTTTCTGATCTCCGTACCGCTGTGTTCTTTGGTGCTTTTCGTGACTCACACCCATGATGATCTTGAAAACATCTCTGTAGCTGACTAGCATTTACGCGCTTCTGCTTGTCTTTTCTCCGGATCGTGTAAACCGAGCCGCGTCTCCCCATGATAACATACGGTCCTTCCCACTTTGGGGCCAGCTTTCCCGATCCTGCTCCCCCTGCTATGTTACTTTTTCGTTCTCTACACTTTACTAGGTCCTCTACTGCAAAGGGTTTCCACGTTCTCCTCTGTTGTTCCGCCTTCTTTGTGTCTGATATTTGTTTCTTCTCCGCATTCCTTATTGCCTCCCTCCTCTCTTTTCTTAACCCTGTTGTCGTCCACTTCTGTTGTTGTGGCCAGGTCTTATTATGCATTGGAAGTCGTGGTTGTCTGCCATACATGAGCAAGAAAGGTGACTTCTTGGTTGTTCCTTGTGTGGAGGAACGATGTGTCAGCAAAATCAATGGTAGCTCTTTCTCCCAATTTCCTCCTTTTGATGCTAACCATTCCTTTAACGTCCGATTGTTTCTTTCAGCAAGCCCGTTTGTCTGAGGATGATACGGTGTAGTTCGTACTCTCTTGATGCGAAACTGCTTTAAACGGGCTTTAAACTCATCACTTTCAAAACAAGGACCCTGGTCAGTTAATATCATCTTCGGTATTCCGTGACACGCTACAATATGCCGAATTACCACCTCGGTCACTGTCTTTGCCCGCTGGTCTGCAATGGGCACGGCATCTACCCAACGTGTAGCATGTTCCGTCATCACTACCAGGTACTGGTTACCGCTCTCCGCCTGTGGAAACGGTCCCATCACATCTACCGACCATAGATCACCGACTGTAGTTACTGGGATTGACTGTAATGGCGGTTATGTGTATCGATCGCTTTTCATTAGCTGACACTGCTGGCAGGTTAACACGTATTCAGCCACATCGTCTCTCATGCTCGGCCAGTATGCACTTTGTCGTAGTAAGTCCGTCGTTCTTGCGATGCCTGTATGTGCTACCTGGTGACACTCGTGTATTATTTTACGCCGGCAGTCTTTCGGGATCACCGCTACCCAATTCTCATCATCGTCCTGCCAGGTCAGCACCCCATATGAGTTCAATCTCAGTCGTTCCTTTTGCCGGAGCAGCGTTATTACCTCCTTGTCCATTGTTCGTTTGTCTACGTCTGCTCCCTCTTTTATCACTCTGATTACCTCTCGAAGGTTAGGGTCAGCTTTCTGCTGCCGGACGAGTTCTAATGGGTCTCCCTCTAAACTATTCACCGCGTGTGCTGTTAATGGCAGGTCGGCTTCCATGTCTGGTCTTGACAAGTAATCCGCCATTACGTTTTCTTTTCCTGGAACATGACCGATACTGAAGTCGTATTCTTGCAGGCGTATCATCCATCGCACCAATTTCCCTCGGGGGTCTCTTGCTGTTTTCAACCACTGCAGGGGTTTATGGTCGGTCTCAATGTGGAATCGTCTACCTAAAATTTTGAACCTTGTAATTGGACGCGATTCAGGCTAATTGTTTCGACCAATCAGCATCCAGATTGTCACCAGCGACCTTGAGCAACATTGGTCATTATTCCTACAGTTAATTTTCATTGCTGGTGCTGAAAAAAAAATGACTACCTGTTCCGATCAATTACAGCTTCTACTTGAGCAACAACAGCAGTGTTTCAAAAATAGCCAGTTGAATTTTTTAGAAAATTTACGCACACTGTTGGTAAATTTTCCATGTTTCGGAAATGCGACAGAAGTTGGTAATTTCATTTCTCATCTGCAGACTGAGCTGGAAAACAACTGCAGAACATATGAAGCTGCCTATAAAAGCCTCTGTGAATCCCGGACGACCAGTGATGTAAACGAAACAATCATTCATGATCCGCCCAGTTGTTCAGAAATGTCAAATTCAGAAACATTCCCTGTTGTGGGTTCAAATCCCACTGTGCCTGAAACATGTGAGGTATCCAGCTTACAAGAAGAACCTCTCGTGTCAGAAAATGTTTCCCGTGCATCAAATAATGGTCAGAAATCTAATACGAATTTCAAAGATGCTGTTTGTTTTAGTGACCTATTATCCAGTGATAGAATTTTGAAGAGGTCTGAAGAATATGTTGCACAAGAATCAAACCTTAATGACCTCATGTCTGGTGTCGCTAATCCTCATCATCTAGTCAGTCTTAGTGAACCCTCTACTCAATGCGCGAAATATGCTTTAATTCGAATCAGACTAACTGTTACTTGGGTATATGAGGACCCAACGTTATTTCGTGGGGGAGGATGAACCGAGAAAATTTTAAAATCCGGATATCAACTCCGGATCTCCAAAAAAAGGGGAGTTGTTGTGGATGCGCAGGAATAGACCAATAATTATCATGTTAAGTCCAATGGTGTCCTTGGACTCTAAATGGACATTTCGTATTGGTCGATATCTGTTCACTTGTACAAAATGTTGTTTTCTAGTTTTATGGTACGCTATGGTATGCTTGACTGGTATATAAACAAAGAATGTTTGAAATATAATGATTCATATCCCCGAGGCTGTGACTTGTGTTCTGGACTCAACTGACTGGGCTAGACAGGGAAGTGGGACCAATCGAGACTCTAGGCCGTCCGTCCGTCCGTCCGTGTTTGCGTGTCATTGTAATCGATCGATAACACAGGGTAGAAATCGACCACAACTTAAATTCATAACAGTCTCCATTTTTCCACTGCCCATACGATCGCTGAACACTCCTTTTCGATGGTTGAATACTTCTGTTCAGCAGGTGTGAGGACGCGACTCGCGTATTCCACCACTCTATCAGCCTGACTCAAAACAGCACCTATACCATGATCACTCGCGTCTGTGGCCACTGTAAACAGTCTTCCCGGTTCAGGTAGTCTGAGCGTCATCTGGCGATCGTCTCGCATGTTTTTGATTCGGTTGAACGTTTGTTCGGCAGTTTCAGTCCACGTAAACTTGGTGCTGCTCAATAACTTATATGAGGGTGCTGCTATTTCGTTGAAATTTTTGACAAACCGACTGTAGAACGCCGCTCTTCCCAGGAACTGTCTCAACTTCCTTTTCGAATTAGGTACTGCAATATTTTTTATGGTAAGAATTTTCTCCGGCAATGGTTTTATTTCTCCATTTCCCACTTTATGTCCCAACAATGTGACGCCACTTTTCGCTATCTGCGACTTGTCCTTATTAATCCGAAGTCCAAATTCGTCAATTCGCTTTAAGACCGCTTCCACATGCTTGATGTGATCTGTTTCTGTTTGACTGTACACAACTACATCGTCGCCATATACCTCGACATTATCTAGATTCTTGAGCAGTAGTGTCATTAATCTTCTGAACGTGAACGGTGCACCCGCCAACCCGAACGGCATTCGTTTAAATTGATACTGTTTATCACGTACAGTAAACGCTGTCTTGCTTCGATCACTCTGTTTTTTAGGCAGTTGCCAATAGCCTGACCGTAAATCCAGCACTGTAAACACCGTGGCATTCTGTAGCCGATCTAATGTTTCCACCACTGTTGGCATTGCACAAGGCTTCAGGTCTGTTATATTATTCAATTCTCTGAAGTCGACACAAAATCTATACTTTCCATTTGGTTTCTTTACCAAGAGTACTGGCGAGCTATATGGGCTGTCGACTTCCTCAATTATACCTTCTTTCAACATTTCCTGGACCTGACGATTTACCTCGGTCTCTAAATGCACCGGGACACGACGTGTTGCAAATATATTTACTCGACTGTTCTTTATCGGTATTTCGTGCTTTACTCTGTCACAAAATCCATACGGCTCCCCATCTCCAGTGAATAGTTTCGCATACTTTTTGCATAACTCGTGAATGTTTGGTTTCTTCGACGAGACATCCGCTGCAACTCTTATTTCAGCCACTTCGCTACTTTCGTGTATCGTCAATGAACCATATTTCGTGACCACCTTACCGCTTCTTAAGTCAACTATCGCTTTTACTTCTCTTAGGAAATCTGCTCCTAATATCGGTCTCGATAGACTTGTGGTTACCACGAACGGAAAATTTATCTCAGCATCCCCCACTTTTACGATACTGTTAGATATGCCAAACACCTCTAACATATGGCCTCCTATCGTGTGGACAGCTAATGTACACGGCTTGATTCTCTTACATTGCTCTTTGCCTATTAACGATACTGCTGCACCTGTATCGATCAGACAAACTAAATTTCACTCATTTATGTTCACTCTCGTATATACTGCCCCACCGTCTACTAACGCAACAATCCCCAGATTCCTAGGATAGAAAGAACACTCGTTGTAACGTCTAACATATCTGCGTCTTCGTCTTGTTGGACAGTTTATCTTCCAATGTCCTGTCCCTCCACAAGCGTAACATTTATCGTTCCTTTTATTGTTCACTCGTATTGCTGCAATCTCGCGCTCCAGCTCCTCAATCTTCTTCTCGACATTACTCATCTCCTGCTTTTCGCACCCGACCGGAGCAACTGTTCGCGTCATCTGCTGACGAGTCACCTTCGCCAGTTCACTGATATCCATCGGTTGCGCTGCGTTCACCAGTTTCAGCTGTTGGGAGACGGCGGCAGGCACACTCTCGATAAACTGTGACGCCAACAACTGTGCCTCCGACTCCTCATCCAGACTCGGCAGCGCACGGCGTAACAATTTAGTAAGCTCCACAGCCAGCACCAGTGGGTCACCATCGACCAGCAACCTCGCCAACCGGAACTTCTGCAGCGCGTCCTCTCTGTCCACTGGGCTGTCGAACTCCGCCGCCAACCGCTCCGTGACTATCTCCCATGTCGACTTCCCGCCAGCACCGTCCAAGCTGTCATGCACAGCCTTCGCCCTGCCTCTCAGCAGCGTCCACAGAACCACCAACTTCGCCTTCGGCTCCTTCACTCCCACCAGCTCCGCCACGGCCTCAAACTCCTTCAGGAAGCTCAGCACATCTCCGTCCTCAAACTCCTTAGGCCATGGAATCTTCATCCTTAGTGGAGGCAGCGACACCAAATATAGTGAAGGAGAATACGGGTGAGGACAACCAAATTGTATTTAGGACAAATTACAGAATTACTTGGTAAAATAGAAAAACCATATATTAAATCGTTAATTTGCAAAATATCATTCTATCATATGAAACCGGACTGTTGCTGTTGCGAACATCAATCCATTTTCTCACATTTCATTGTTCATGCGATTTCTTACAAATTCCGTTGTGTTCTTGTTCTTCCTTTCTTGATCTTCTCCATCTTCTGCTGCCAGATCTTACGTTCTTTTACCTCACGTTATATACTACTTATATCAATATAAGTAGCACGCACCACAACTACAACTTAAATAATCTGAAAACCATATCCGGCGCCTTGTTAAGTTTCAGAAGTCGTTCATTTGTACTTCATTCAGATTAATTGCATCGAAGCATTTATTGATCTAAAGAAAAATAACTTGATTAATTGGTCATTTGTTTATAAAATATATTTTTATTGAGTAAGAATGTTAATTTCGTTCACAGATTTTTCAATACAGTTTAACACAAAATATCTTTTTTTTATTTATTTACAACTCAATAATAGCCCTGTATCACTTCCTATCATTCTAAGACATAATGTTCTTCTCCGTGAACGTGGAGGTCGTTTAGATGTAGTGGTAGTACCAAAAACAATGGGTAAACCTGTAAGTAAAAACCTTCATGTAGAGTTATGTAAACAGTAATAATCTCATATCATATTTTTTTAATCAAACGTGTTAGTTGTCTTTCTGTTTTGAAAAAAATGTTACACAAATCATTCTAAATATACACTTATGCACTCAGATATCTGCTCCAACCGACCACTGAGTAGTAATTAATTTTTATACTTATCCAATCTCTTGCGCTGATTAAATTCTATCAATTAAGTTCTGATATTGATACTAGCCTAAATGACCTGACATCGTGTGCACTATTTCTTAATAATAAGTGATTTGAAGTAACTAGATGATCGGGAGTGTCGTCTCCGGAATAGTTATTTATTTCCTCGTAAAAATCTGATAAAAAACGTTAAAATCAAGTTATATTTCATTGTACTTGGAGCTGATATAGATGATCTTTTTGACTTTATTATAACGTCAACTGTAATCAGTGTTATTCTTATAAAACAATCATAACCTGCAGTTTTAAATTTGATAACTGGTTCAGTAAATCATTTGTCTTTTTTTTCACTATCAAATAATTAACTCTGATTAATATAGAAAGAAGAATGGTAGCGTAATTAAAACAAAAAATCAAAGTTTTGCCGCCAGCAACATATTCATGAGAATTAATAACTGTGTACAAGTTTATATACTAAATTGTAAGCTTTATCGTCTGGTAAAAGCTGATTAGATTAGAACTTTAATATGCCTAAACTGTTGACTAAATAATTTAAAAACTTTCAGCCAATTTACAGAGCGAAAAACGATTATACAAGAGTATTTACTTTATATTCGAATTATATATTATTCATGCTGATTTCCCATCTCTTACAGGTTGAAAATGTAAAACTTACCATCCAGTTACCACCAGAAGTTTTAAATATCACAGCATCTCCAAGTGTTGGACGAACTAGTTTTGATGTAACAACAAAATTGTTTCAATGGGATATTGGTCGAATTGAAACAAAATCTCCAAATCCTTCAATGAAAAGTAGTGTGAGTTTTACTTAATTTCCTAATGTTTTCATTTTTCCAGTTTGCAGTAAAAGTGCATATATTTGAAAATTCGTTATCCACTATGACTACTGTCTTTGAATAGTTTGATCAAGTATTAAAGTTTAAACCTTGCGTTGATTTTTATCAAATTAAATCAAGATGTTATGCCCTGGTACGGCCGAGAGTGGAGAGACTCCGCTCTCCCTCGAAATGCTCTCACATGGCCACGCGTATATAGCCTCTGCCAGGGAAGTCCTACTCACTGCCTTCTCGTGGCATTACTGTTGTTTACGAAAATGAGAGGACGAAAAGCGAATGTCCGGCGCTTTAACCGAATTCCAAACCAATGGTGCACATGGGCTCCAGTATCCTGCGGGAATAAATGGCGTATGAACCAATCGTTGGTCACCGGCTTCCATGGGACTGCATTTCCCTACGATGCTCCACTACCTTGTGGATCAGTCCTTCAGGTCGAAGGCTCCGAGTGTGGCCTTCTAAGAAAACCACCTGCTTCGGTTCGGGCACCCGAGCAACATTACATCCTTCTCACAAATCAAATGGGATTTGTGTGGCGCATATGTATTTGGTGCCTCCTTGTACCAATATCTATGTGTTAAAAATAATACTTAATGAATAAATGTTGTTTTATGTAACATTAAGAATTACTTTAGTTACTTTAATTCACATGACATATTGCGTAAAGATTGGTATTATTTATGGAAATTGGATAATAGATACGTTGTTGCATATCTTGTAATGGTTATGTTGTATCTTATGGATTAAGGGGGAAACTGTAAAAACTAAAAGCTTGAATTAAACATAGTAAATACATCATAATCTTCAGTATTTCACATTTGAATTTTTTTTAATAACCTGCAAAAATATAGTAATTAAAATGAAAAGTAATCAGATGGTCAATTGATAATTTCATGGTGGTTAATAAATGCTCATAAACCCCACCCGTCATGCAAAATCCTTCCCCATCCCAACTAAACGAATCGAACAAGTGAACAATAAATTTATCGGTTTTTAATGAATAAAAGATGTTTCTACACAAAATAACTTCCACATAACTCTCTAAAATGTCTTATTAAGTGTATTATTCTAATTGTAATCATAAGTCTAGACTTGTTCAGACAAGTTACTAATGTTTTAGCATAAGTTGGGTTGATTGTTATTCTGGATGCCAACTTATTGATCCAAAGGTTAAGCTCTCGTTGCGAGGCTGTGAAGGTCCTATGTTCGATTTTCGGTAGGATCGCATATACATTGCTTAGAAGTAAGACATTTTACGGTGCTTCCTGGTCTTAAACTGTTGTTTAAATAAGGTCAGTTTGTGATATTAAAATTAGTGATTCCTGCTAATCACTTTTTAAATTAGATTATATAGTATAACCTTTCCAACCATGTGTTCTCACTCTTAAAATCCTTGTAGATCGATTTAGTTAGTGGTCTTACTACATTACCATCAAATCCTGTAATCGTCGTAAACTTTTGTATTCCACAATTCGTCGTATCTGGGTTGAAAATTGCTAGAGTTGACATTTATGGAGAGGTATGTTTTATCCTATTTTATCTGAAATATTACAGTAAAGGCCTTTGCTAGCTCTTAAGATGACCGGCATATAATTGCACTTAAATCATTTATTAGTACTTATTTACGTCTCACATTAGTAATCAAATCCAATTTTCTTTTTGATTGCGTGTGAACAGATAATCAGTTAAAATAGTTTCTCACAGATACTTGTTTTTTTGTGTGTATATGGCCGACTGCCGTATAATTTATTGTGAGTATTCGAACTACTTACAAGTAGTTATTTTTTAGTTCTAAAAGATATACTGTGCCACTGTTATATCCGAAGAATAAATGAACGGTAACGGCTTGGAGTTACGTATGGACCATTATTACATATATTCTTATTGTGTAATTACTAAGCAACTACATTATATATATATATATATATATATATATATATATATATATATATATTCCTCTTATTATGAGCTTTCATTTGACCTATTGGCTGCTGTTATACGACTTCTTAACTTATTCCCAATATGTCAGTTACAGTATCTCTCATTCACGACCACTTCTGACCTGATCTTGTATAATTATTATTTTTCATTTAATGGTGTGGTGCGAACTGGTGTGCTTATATGTAAACCAAATTTGTCTGAAATATACGATTCATATAGCGGAGGTTGATATTTGTGTTCTGTACTGGACGGGCTGGGTAGGCGAGAAGTTGCTATACAGAGGACCAATAAAGACTCAGAGTTGACTCATGGTTCTGGTTCACGCATCGTTGGTTTAACACGGGAATAAGATCATATGATTCACGTGCTGATTGACAGAGTCACAGGACATAACCCCCTATTTTCTATATTATTTACCCAGTTGTGCTCTAGTTAGATATCCCGCCTTTTTTTAACTTAAAAGGGCTTTGTAATTGGGGGTGATCTAATAAAACCAAAGTTAAGAATCTTTTTTATCACAACTGCATCCATGCAAGTTAACGGCTTGTTAGTTATTTGATATTTGAATAATTTGTTATCCAGTAAACCGATGTATATATATCAAGGCTTAATTTCGTTTATTTGTGGTAAAGTGAATTAACTGAAATAACAGAGAACGTTGACTTGAAATTAATTTGTTTGTTCTTGCGGGCTATGTTGGATTTCTTGGGTCGTTTTTTCTTTTCGCTATCTCATCTTTGTATCAAGTGACTAACTCCAGTGTGATTGTTAATTTTCTTATGAATATGTATTAAGTGACCCATAATTCTCGATTAAATATTATTTTTATTTGTGTTCCTATCTATTTTCTCCTTTTAGAAATATAAACCATTTAAAGGAGTCAAATACGCAACGAAAGCTGGTCAATTTGAGGTGCGAACGTGAGAATAGTCAACTTATCTAGTAAAATAGCACTGTCAAATGAATTCTTTTCTGTTTTAGCATTTACACCTTACTACCCATCGTTGTTATCTTGTTTCTTGTTGTTATGGAATTTGTTTCATTGATTTGCTTCAATCCTTCAATATTAGTACTTTGTGATAATTTTTTTCTTGTAAGAAAAATAATTACTTTATTTAAAGTCTTCTAACAATTGATTTGTTATGTCTTTGTTGAATTAAAATTTATTCCACAACAATCTGTCAATACTGTGATTAATGTACACTTATGACTTGTGGTTATTCACGAAACAATAACATATTGCTTTTTGGTTATTTTTGTGATAAATATTCTTTTCTATTCATAGTCAGTCAACTAGTATGTTTGTTTTCGGAAGTGTCTTAAAATACATTTTTATTGTTCATTTTCTAACGAGTATGATGTTTCAAAAGTGTCGACTTCAGCTTTCTGTAACGCAAGTGAAATTTCTATCTGATTATCTAGTAAAGAGCGAGTACAGCTCTCAGCACTTCTGTTTATTACTTGTGCTCCTAATAAAAAGCGATATATGTGTGTAGCTTGCTGATGCGTGGATACGAAATACAACGCGCATATAAAACTAATCAGTGAAGAGTGATATTGTTGAGAATAGAACACTAAATAATTACACTAGGGAACTTTTGTGTTGCGTAGAGTATACTCTTTCAAGTAGAACTCAACTATCCTATTGGTTCTGTCAATTTTGCCTTTAACTAAATGCAATTTTGTTATTTCAATCTAGACATTCTTGATTACTTTAAACATAATAATGTATTAGTTCATGTTTTTAATTTGTCAAACTGGGTGTTTATGTCGATTGTTTGAACTCCACAGGAAATATCGGGTTCCTCAAGATGATATGTACACCTTACTTTAGGAGTTCCAACTAGCATGTGCTTATGTTATTAGCTAAATGATATCATACTCTAAAAATATTATTTCTTCTAATGACTACATTTTGTTTTGTTAATTTTACTATCCAAATAAATCATATATTTTTGGAATATTCATTAATTCGGCAATATGTTACGCAATCCAAACTTTTATCATAATTTTTCCCCACCTCATCAGATGGACATGCGCCTGAAAGAAATTTTAGTTAGATAAAAGTAAATCCCAAGTGAAAATACTTTTTAGTGTTCTTTCTTAATGGATCGGTCGTTTTAATTAAAGCTTATTTTACTTGGTTAATATATTACATAGAAACCATAACTTTTATTCTGTTTCGTGGGCTTTATTTTAACAGTTGATCTTTAACTGCTGGTTGGGAAGCAGATGCGAATTGCGCTCCACCTATTTCGGGTTGTATCACTAGATTTTAGGTATGAAGTGTAGCTCAAAGCTGGTTACAAGAAACAATAATTTGTCACAGTTACACTCGAATTTAAATACCCATTTAACTAGTATTAAATATATTTCTATGATATCCCAATAAGTGCTCACCGAGTTATCACAAAGATGTATTTATTATTAACTTTCTACCCAATGCTCAATTTATTTGAAACTATCAAGTCCAACGTTGGCAGTGTGATACCCACAAACGTGTTTAACTGAAACAATAACTTAGTCAATTAATTCTCTAGTATGGTATGGTATGTTATCTGAATATTATAAAATGAAGTTTTGGTTTTTTTTCTTCAAAGTAATTAGAATGTTTTGTTGATTAAGTTTTCCAAATTTACAATCACTTCTTTCCAGTGTAATTTATTATATGATTTCAGTAAGTACAAACTTAACTGATTACTACTATATAGTGGTTTTTCGATGAATTCACATGTTTCATTTGAGTAAAATGGAAGAAATGATTTATCTTGAAGTTATCATTACCAAAACATTTCGATTAATTTATCCTTTTATCAACTGGATTAAAACTACTTCACATAAAACGATCTTTAAAGCTTTACATATTAGCTGACGTACATAAAGTGTTGAATAGACTTGACTAAGTTAACAATGAATTTTGATTCAACAATAAAAAGTATTATAATAGTATGAACTGTTGTTTTCCTCCCATAATACTGATAATAATGATTGCTAATTGAGATGATTAAACTAACAAAATGAAGTTTGATGATCAGTCGATTAAACCGAGCGTCGAATTTCTGTATCTAATTTACACAGTAATCAATTTTAATACTTAGTAGTTGCGATTGTCTTGATATTTTGTTAATCGCTGGTTTACGTATAGTGTAGTTTATTTCAGGCTTTTTTTGTGATTCTATAAAAAGAACGATTAGCTATAAGCTTATGTGTTCCAAATTTATCATGAGAACTACTTTGTAGATTTTTGTGATGATGGAGAAGATTTATAGCTCAGGTGGATGATTTTGATGGATTTTTGTTCTCTGAGCTGGATGTTTAGGTCGTGGAGCTTTCATCGTTCTTCTGAACGACATCATCAGCACAAACTTCAGATAAGTTTTTGTCCTTGTTATTTTCATCTAAACAATTATGAATCTTACAGCTTGTAGGTTTTTCTGTTAAAAAAAACATTGTCATAATTCTATTTTGCATAATTTTAGATATTTCAATCGGTTTGTTAAAAAGGGTGCTTCGATTGATTTATCTGTTCCCATCAAAATTCATTCTTCATAATAGATATATACTGTCAATCGATAATTTGTGCATTCGAATGGATATTTCTTTCAACATAGGTATATTATAGTCATAAATAATACTGTATGCAAAAATCTACATAACAATGTCTGAAGTATCTACGCATTAATGAGTAACCATAGTAAATCATTAATCAATAGGTTTGTACGAAAAACTAGTTTCATAAAATGAAATGTTAGTTGTCGATAGAGAAATTTATAGGTAGGTGAAAAGCGTTCATGGTCATAAATTACATTTAATACAAGAAGGAAAGTGTATAAATAAACGTAGTGAAGAACCACGTCAAATTATAAAATAAATTAGCAAATAATGTCAGAATTTCACATAGTGAATAAAAATTTAAGTCTAATAGTCAGGTCTCGAGTTGGTAGGCTGGTGAATGATTACGAAAATCCGAATCTCGCATTCATGTACTCTTTTAAATGGATCTTAATCAGATCTATTATTTTCGTTAAGTTTTCTGTTTATTGAATATTCTCATCGTTGATATTATAAGCTATAGTTGACCAGTCTGTACTGGAATATGTGAATCCTCTGCTTGTTATCATGATAATTTCTTTATTTACACAATTTTAATATATTTAGGTCCCGATTTCAATGCGAACATCAACATTACGGACTAGGGACATCCAGCTAACTAATCACAAATCGGACGAGGTGTGCATTCTGTGTTCCAGTGTTAGTCACAATCCATATGTAGTAAAAATATTTGCTTATTATTTTGTAATTTCCACTAAGTAACACAACTTTCTTTGCTATTTAGCCTAGTCTTTTCGTCCTGAAGCTTTACAATATTAGTTCGGTTTACAGTGAACAGGTGTCATTTGGCTATATTAATGCACGTGACTGATCACACAATACATGCAAGTTTTCATTATAACAAAAGTAGGGTTGAACACGTGAATGTATATATGAAATTTCATCTGAATTGTTACATAATCGAAACCAAATGTACTCAAATCAACATCCTTTTCTTAGTATCTTTAAGAAAATAATTGCAAAATACTCTGAATGATAAGGAATCGTAGTATGCTTATTGTTAAATTAATCTGTATTGCTACTGCTTCATTATTCGACTTTCGGATCGTAAATTGAAACCTTATTCACCATTTACGACTTCAACTACCGTGCATGTCTAATAGTGCATCGGTCCTCAATTCTTTTCATCCAAATGAATAAAAAATTATCTATATACATAAGACTCTCTTTTTGGATAGCTTCAAAATAATTTATGTTTAACTATTCAGGATTTCCACGTTTTATTTTTAATCTCCCATCTTTTCATGAATCGAATTCCATAAAGTTATAAGACTTAAAACTATTTAAATAAATTTTGAACTTTCTCTATACTCAATGAAGTGAGCATTTGATTGATCCTCATCTGTTTGGTTGATTTGATTTAAGAATGTACAGTGAAATCAATCTCAAAGTGTAAGGTTTCTGTAAAATGTTATAATTACACTAAAGTGTGTAGATTATATGAATAGTAGTTGAATTAATTGTCTGTTTCGTTATCATAAAATAAGTTCCTTTTTATACATAAGCAATTAAATTTATATGCCTATACCAAGGAATCTTTTGCAGTTGTGTGTCGAATATTACCAATTGAGAATTTGAGGTAACCTTACATTGATATATGTGTGTACATGTTATCCAGTGTACTAGTAGGCTCCTAGCAGAATATCTGGGTCAGTGTTGTAAACACATTCAGTATTATGTGAGTATTGAATAAACTTTGAATATATGGGACAAGTACATGTACTCTACATGCGATTAATATTACAAATGCAATAAACATATCAGCAATTAAAGCAAAAGCTTTCATTTCGTCAAATTATTTTTCTCAAAATCTATGTTTTACAATATCATTATTCATTCCAGATACAAAAAATTGCACTATCTTCTACCTATATTACTTAAATAGTTTCTTTTCAACTAATTACTAAAACTAACTAAATTCAATTAAAAGTTTTTACTTTATCACAACTTCAGTTATACAATCATTTCAAATTTAGAGGCATTATCATTCATAGAAAATGCATTAGTTTATGTGTTCTAAAAAATCTATCTTATCACTTTTGAATATTTTTTCTCTTACGATAGTTCACTTTTAATTTAATCATCATAATCTGTGTTATATACAATAAAAACTGACTTGATCATCAGTAATTTCATAAAAAGGATGTACTGATTTTTTTTCTTAATACTAAAATGATTTTGTAATTACCATGATCTTACAAAATATTATGACTAAAATGATCTTGCAACGATCTTGTGGAAATGATTTGAAATGTTAAAATACAGAGTTGAATACATTTGAGTATATTTTTACTAGATTATTAGAAAAAATCATACTGTTAACCAAGGAAACACTATTAAGCTATTAGTTTATTGTTATTATTTGTATTATAGTAGGTTTGATTTGATAATTTCGAATAAATTGATCATTGGGTAGAATAATTAAGAACTTTCGTCTAAATTTGAACGAATAGCTTCACAATATTTGGGCGCCGAGTTAATGTGAGACATTAAAGAGGAAGAATGCATTTCTGTATGTATTTACATTCGAAAATTTTGTTGTTTGATTATAATTTCCTTGAAAAAGCTTGGACCAGATTGCCAGGCGAAAAGTTGAATTTACTTCAAATCCTTTCGCTGAGATTTTACAAATACATTCTCCCTCTTTAACTGGGTAGATTGTTATAAATAAAACTAATATATTGGTAATATCCCAACGAGTAGAAAAATTAGACTTTCCGATGTTTCGTGACTTAGTGTAAGCCACTTGTTCATTATTTATTCTCTGAAGAAGTGGCTTACACTGAGTCACGAAACATCGGAAAGTCTAATTTTTCTACTCATTGGGATATTACAAATATATTATTTATTTATTTGTATTATTTTAAACTTGATAAGATAACTGCTTTAAGAGACTTTAGAAGCCTTCTTATTAATAATTTTAAGCAAATGAAAATGAACCAACATCCCCTTTGCAAATCCTATACTAAATTTTTAAAGAAATACATGTTATGTATTTAGTTGTAATATCGTACACTTGTCATATCATGCACAAAACTAGATATTTTGATTTTCTTTTTTAAGAAATTAATATGTTCTGGTAAATCTGTGAATCAGCATCACTGTGGTGTGTGCTACTTATATTGACATAAGTAGTTTATGATGTTAGTCATGAACAGTTCTGACAGCAGAGAGACAAGAAGATCGAACAGTAAAGAATGGGAACAGGGTGCAATTTGTATGAAAATGCTAGAACAGTGAATCCTGAGTCATTTTGAGACAATTGGTAGACATTTTGCAAATTAAGCACTTTATGATTGTTAGATTTTATTAACAAGTCCTGTAATTTTGTGTTAAACACATTCAATTGTCCCCACCCGTGTTCTGTTCAATACACTACATTCTATTATTTCTGTTAATAAAAGCCAGTATAAAAGATTTCGCTTGTTTCACAGTACAGAGTTTATGTCATTCTTACCTTATTACAGTTTTGTACTTGTTATTCACCATCTTAAAATATTACACAATTTCCAACAGTGATATAATCACAGGGGGTTTTGTGGAGATTTTAGTAATTTCAGTTGTTGAGATCATCAATCAATTGAAGCTAGACCAACATAAAAAACCTGGAAGCACTGAACGGCTGTTTCATCCAGTGCTCTCAGGTTTTCCATGGTGATCTAGCTTCAATTGACTCATGATCTTAACTATTGAAATGATATAATCATCTTAGAAACTGTGATTGATTTTTGTATAGTTAATTATAAGTACATTTAGCTTAAAGAGATTAAATTTGACCTTGAAGTTATCAATACTTTAAATTTAGTTATTGTCTAATGTTCAATTGAGTTATGATGTATGGTTTTTTTAAAAAACATTATTTTAATTATTTATGTCATTTG